CGAAAACGAAGCAGCGTTAAATCAAGTTCTAGCGAGAAAGAAGAAGAACTTCATCATGCTCCTGGCAATCCGCCACAGCCTCGCAGTCAGCAAAAGATACCTGCTTGATTCAAGAACTTCTTCCCTCTGTAAGAATAACGCAGAGGAGAATATGGTATGATCCATTTCCCCCATTAATGTATCTGTCCTGAACGCATACCATCAAGAGAACTCTGCTGATCTGTAGAGTTCATTCAAGCTTATTGTTAAGTAAATTCGTATTGTCTGAAACAATTCTTCAACAATTACAAGAATGAATTCTAACGATTGAATTTGTCTTCTGTATTACGAAAAAAAAATTTAAGACATATAAAATTACTTTGCTGGCTTTATGCCGTGGCTGAGAGAATTGATTTATTTTTTGCCAGTATTTGATTTTGTCAAAAGATAACTTGGAATTGGCACAACACAATCTTCTTTCTTTTTCCTGCAACCATTTTATTCGATTTGGCTCCCTATGTTGGACTAAATTAAAATTAAGAAAGATATGTATAAAATAATTTTCTTTGGTCTATATTATGGTTCATGTCTAGTGACTAAGAGTTAACTATTAAAATAACTCCAAATGGAGAAAGATGAGAAAATTGAATGAAGCTACGTACACTGGCCATACAGAAAGAATGTGTACGGATTTAAACTTCATGCTCTTTTATTTAAGTATTATTGTGCTCTGAGAAACGAAAATCACACCACTTGAAGACTGAAACTAATAAGTACATGCTTTAAAATTACATTTGGTTAAGCCTTACAACAAGTTCATAGATATACAATTAACCCATCAATATCCCCCATAACATTTTTCGAGCGGTGGACATTAATGGGTTATAGGCAGAACCCTATAATTAATACAGGATTTTTATAAAGCTTATTGGATTTTTTACAAACCTATAATTGATATTGCTTTTTTTTTTAGAACTTTCTAATTAATTTTTAATTAATACTAGAACGGACTAGTGACGGACTGGCCAGTGTGTCAAGTGGGCAAGTGGGGTCCCTATACCAAATAAATGGCAATAAAGAAACAAACACAGACAACTGTTTTAGTCATAAAAAAATAGGTAACTTTGTAGTGATATGCACGCCATCAGTTACTCGAGTCCAATGTGAGAGTGTCATCCTATTTTTCTTTTTTCACTCAGGAATGGTAAGATGTAGGTCGAACGAGGAAAACGCTTTCCCACTGGGGAATACACACGCGCGTGCGCTCACGTATGCACATTTCACTTCATTTTTCTCTCGGATTTTCTCCTACACCAAACTACATACACACACAATTCAAAATATTTTCTTCATTCATGTTCATTGTTTTATAACAATATTTTATAATCTATGTATACCTTTGTTTTGTTAATACATACTTATCGTTTATATATATATATATATATATATATATATATATATATATATATATATATATATATATAATTTTGTTAATGATTTCATTGCCCAGATTCACATACCAAGTCCCCCATTATTGTTGTGGGATAAATATACCGGGAGACGCGTGTTTTCCCACCTAAACCCTCGACCAGCATAATCCCGCCACAAGAGGACATTTTAAAAGCTAAAGATCTTAAAGACAAGGTTAAGAAATTTGCTATCTGAAGAGAATTTGAAATCATGCATGTTGCTATTCTTTGAAAGGAATTGTTAGATGAATCGGATGAAGAAACAATTATTGACAGATTCGCACACAATCATCTATTGATCACAAACGATTGCTCTTAATATAGTGGACTGCATACAATGCTCTATTGTGCTTTTGAACTATCTCATCATGTGTAAATTGTGCAGTAAACTATTTAAAAGTATCAACTAATTACTTAAAATTAAAGTAAATAAAACTTCAGTTATAACATTCTGTATTTAAATTTGTTATATAATGTCAATATTATGTATTGTATGTATATGTACTCTGTAATCACTAAGAAATGCACACTTTTACCACAAAATTTTAATTGTAGCCTTTTTTGAAAATTTTATTTATTCTTTATGAAACTTAAATAATAACATTGTACTTGTGGGTAGTCTCACTTCGTCTCTTGACAACCAATATTTTGAGAGACAGTCCGCCATTGATACTGGATTTTAAGGTGAGCATTAATGGATTAAGATTGTAATTAGCTTTCTGTAGTAGATTTCTAATCTGTTTAACTGAATTTTTAAAATTTTGATTTAGGGGAACTAACCCACTTCTCTTCTTTCCCTGATTAACAGTCCACCATTAAAGTGATTCCAAACTAAAATATATGGCTGTAAATGTAAATATTGCATTCCCAATCTCTTTAAATTTCTATTTCCATCACAAGTCTGAATTCTAAAAGTTGTGTTTATTGGGCGTTTGTCTTCTGTATTACGGGAAAATAGTTAACACATATATAAAATTATTATCATAGGTTTGTGTCGTAGCTGAAATAATTTCTTGTTTCTTACTAGTCATTCGTGTTTAAAAGTTAACTTGAAGTTGGCGCAACACATTCTTCTTCCATTCACCTCCAACCATTAACATTCATAGCTCTCCATAACTTTCCACTCTTTGTATCTCTAAGCAATGTTTGTCTCCCTTGCTTCCCACAAATTCGTTAGGTATGTTACTCGAGTTTTCCTTCTGCCTCTCTTGTCTTCAATAAATCCTGCGAGTGTCGATTTCTCCAAGACATCTTTCCTCATTACGTGTCTTAGAAAATTAAACTCATTCTAATTCTAAGTAAATGTGTTCTTTTTGTTTCCGTTTTTGTTAAAACATCCTCATTGCTTACATGTTCCATTTTTGGTATTATCTACATCATTCTGTAGAATCAGATCTGTTACCTCGAATCTCTTCTTTTTATGGTTATTTTCTAAGCGTGGCTTAGATGTGGCACAAGGCCGAAAGTACGGAGCACGTAGTGAAGATCGAACTTACTTTTCAGTCGTAACTGATATCGCGAAACAAGTTTGCTAACCATTACACTACGCTGAGATGTTCAAGTAGAGTGATATTCCAAGCGTAGCTTGGGTGTAGCACAAGGCCGAAAGTAAGGGGCAACCCAGTGAGGATCGAACTCACTACTCAGTCGTAATTGTTCTAGCGAGACAAGCTTGATAACCACTACACCTCTTCGAAGTGCCCGAAGATGATTTTCTAAGCGTAGATTAGACGTGGCGCAAAGCCGGAAGTAAGGGGTACCCAGTGAGGATCGAACTCACTACTCAGTCGTAATTGTTCTAACGAGACAAGCTTGCTAACCATTACACCGCCTCGAGGTACCCAATCTCTCCTTCTTATGTGAGGAAATTGTCCAATATTTATTGCCATATAAAAGGATGGCTATGACACAACAGTTATACACTCTTATGGAATTTTCGTCATTTTAAGTCCTTTTAAGACGTTACTCCGTTATGAATATCATTTCAGAAAGGTCCATATAAGAAAAATATTCCTAAGACAGAATGCCTGGCTCGTAGTTTAAATGCCCGGCCAGTGATCACCCCCACATTACATTTCAACCCGCGATCCCGTCGACGTTCTTCGAAAGCTAGAGAAGACCGCGCGACATACTTACAAAGTAATAGGATGAAAGAAAAAATGGACACATCAAAAAATAAGAACGCGGACTTTTGTTATTCAGAGCTTCATCTGCTCGTCCAGGCGAGTGGCTAAGTACGTAGTTGATACTCGGGAAAACTTCAGCCCTGTCAACTATTCCCCCCCCTCCTCTACCAACTCCTCGTCCATCTACTCATCTCAACGTGGTGGCTAGCAATACGAAAATGGAGGCTTCGGAACCGCGACACGGACACGTTCGTCTTCAGCCAAGGACAGGTTAGCACTCTCCTCAATCCCAAGCATAACTATTGATAGAAACCAGTATTCGGATATACCCTACTTCCGGTTTTGTTGCCACTTTGTCCCCCCAAAAAACTCTAATCCACTCCTTTACTTCCCATTTCTTTTCAGTCAAAGTAGATCCTGCTTAGAAGACCGAACTTCAAAAATAACCCTGAACTGGTCCATCAAACAGAAACACTTGGGATTGAGATAAAACCATCTCTTCCCTTTCTACGGGGTGTCTATAGAATTACATATCAACTTTTCTACAAGGTTCAAAATCTTCATTTTCGTCAGTATTTAATTTTTTTTGAGGACTTCAAAACACTTATTTCTAACTTGCCTGGGGCTTCAAAAATTTAAAAATCTCACAAAATCCACATTATGAATGACAAAAATCATCAGACTGAATACTATAATCATGAATGATGTATCACAAAATCCACATTATGAATGTATCACATTATGAATGTATCACAAAATCCATATTATGACTGACAAAAATCATCAGATTGAATACTATAATCATGAATGATGTAGAACAAACATCTCCCTAGCAGCTTATCTTCAATTATACTGAAAAACATAAAACACACCCCATCACCCAAGTTTTCCACCGACTGGTCAATGATTACCTCTCACTGCATTATGATTCTTGACCTTGTTAGTGTGCATCCATACCTGGGGAAGAGCATGTTGCATGCTCACAAATTAACACGATGAAATGCGACAGACACACCCATCTCCCATCAAGAGTGGACCAGAACTCACCCTGATCCCAAGCATGACTGTTAACATAGATAGCATCCGGATATACACTATTTCCGATTTTGTTGCTACTTGGTCTCCAAGAGAAAAACCTCTAATCCACTCCTTTACTTCCTGTTCCCCATCGGTCAAGGTGAATCCTGCTGAGAAGACCAAACTTCAAAAGGAACCATCTGCTGGTCCATCAAATAGAAACACTTGGGATCATGATAATACCATCTCTTCTCTTTCTACGTGGGTGACCATAGTATCATAAAATACTGTGATATTTATTAAAAAATTATTTACTTGTTCTTCCCGATCCCTTCTCGATCTTTTTCATTTTTTCGACATTTTTATTCTTGCATTCTTCTTCTTGATTTTCATCTTGCCTTTCTTTGTGATGCCACTTCTTGTCTTTTCGCCTTTCGTCTCGCTTTTTTCTTCTACTTCTCGCCTTCCTTCTTCTTCATCTTCTCGCCTTTCGTCTCGCCTTCTTTTTCTTCTCACCTTTTTACTGCTGCTTCTCGCTTTTCTTTTCCACTTTCTTTTCGTTTTCTTCTTTTCCCCTTTCTTCTTCTCGCTTTTCTTCTTCTTCTTCTTCTCGCCTTCCGTCTCGCCTTCTTTTTCTTCTCACCTTTTTACTGCTGCTTCTCGCTTTTCTTTTCCACTTTCTTTTCGTTTTCTTCTTTTCCCCTTTCTTCTTCATCTTCTTCTTCTTCTTCTTCTTCTTCTTCTCGCCTTCCGTCTCGCCTTCTTTTTCTTCTCTCCTTTTTACTGCTGCTTCTCGCTTTTCTTTTCCACTTTCTTTTCGCTTTTCTTCTTTTCCCCTTTCTTCTTCTCGCTTTTCTTCTTCTTCTTCTTCTCGCCTTCCGTCTCGCCTTCTTTTTCTTCTCACCTTTTTACTGCTGCTTCTCGCTTTTCTTTTCCACTTTCTTTTCGCTTTTCTTCTTTTCCCCTTTCTTCTTCTCCTTTTTTCTTCTTCTTCTTCTCGCCTTCCGTCTCGCCTTCTTTTTCTTCTCACCTTTTTACTGCTGCTTCTCGCTTTTCTTTTCCACTTTCTTTTCGTTTTCTTCTTTTCCCCTTTCTTCTTCATCTTCTTCTTCTTCTTCTTCTTCTTCTTCTTCTTCTCGCCTTCCGTCTCGCCTTCTTTTTCTTCTCTCTTTTTTACTGCTGCTTCTCGCTTTTCTTTTCCACTTTCTTTTCGCTTTTCTTCTTTTCCCCTTTCTTCTTCTCGCTTTTTTCTTCTTCTTCTTCTCGCCTTCAGTCTCGCCTTCTTTTTCTTCTCACCTTTTTACTGCTGCTTCTCCTTTTCTTTTCCACTTTCTTTTCCTTTTCTTCTTTTCCCCTTTCTTCTTCTCCTTTTCTTCTTCTTCTTCTTCTCGCCTTCCGTCTCGCCTTCTTTTTTCTTCTCACCTTTTTACTGCTGCTTCTCGCTTTTCTTTTCCACTTTCTTTTCGTTTTCTTCTTTTCCCATTTCTTCTTCATCTTCTTCTTCTTCTTCTTCTTCTTCTTCTCGCCTTCCGTCTCGCCTTCTTTTTCTTCTCTCATTTTTACTGCTGCTTCTCGCTTTTCTTTTCCACTTTCTTTTCGCTTCTCTTCTTTTTCTTCTTCTTCTTCTTCTCGCTTTTCATCTCGCCTTCTTTTTCTTCTCACCTTTTTACTCCTCACTTTTCATTTCCCCTTTCTTCTTCTCACCTTTCTTCATCTTCTTCTTCTTTTTCTTCTTCTTCTAATGTAGATCTATTTTATACATACTATTTGTAGCGTTGACTAATATTGAAATATTGCATTTTTATTCTATTGATTGATATTCAATCGTCTTATTATTAAGAATTTGTTAATTTTCTGCCTGTGCCGAAATATCTTTCTTCGTTTTTTGAAATTACTTTAAAACAATCTACGCCATGTTACGTCCACGGGGTCGCATCACCCTAATTTCCTCAGTCTTCTAATTGTAAGGAAGAATATTATTTCTCCCCACCTCAAGAACTGATCAATTTGTGGAGTGAGGATTTCTTTGCCAAAAAAAAAATATATATATATACTTACCTATATTTGATACCTTGTGACTGGATATCCGCACCTCAGACAGCACCCGCGTTTTCTACTAAGAACAAAAAGGTTTTGTAAATAATAAAAAGATGCGTGAGACGTTTTGCGTCACAGATTCTGTGTGTGTGTGTGTGTGTGTGTGTGTGTGTGTGTGTGTGTGTGTGTGTGTGTGTGTGTTAGAGTGTATTCCTCTGGCAGCTTATTCTCCTTCGAGTCCAGTATAAATTAGTGTGTGTCAGCATTTGTTATTGTACTGATAAATCATTCAGTTACCTCCCCTTAATATCTAGGTGGTATATAAAAAAAATACCCTGTAACATCCGTCAGTAGTCGAGTAGTCAGAGTAAAATGCAACAAAGCTTTGGTATAAGTTTATTCACTGGTTTTGTTTTTTATATATATATATATATATATATATATATATATATATATATATATATATATATATATACAAATGAAAGACAGATTAGTACCAATGTATAGACATTATATTTTTTAAAAGTGCTCGATACAAAGTAGAGCTTAATATTAATAATAATAATGATAATAATAATAATATGTTGTACTAATAAATCATCAGTTACCTCCCCTTAAGATCTAGGAGGTATAAAAACACACTGTCTTAACCGTCAGTAAATAAGTAGTCAGAGTAAAGTGCAATAAAGCTTTGGTATAAGTTTATTCACTGGTTTTGTTTTAATATATATATATATATATATATATATATATATATATATATATATATATATATATATATATATGAAATATATAGACAGATTATAAAGACAGATTAGTACCAATGTATAGACATTATATTTTAAAAAGTGCTCGATACAAAGTAGAGCTTAATATTAATAATAATAATAATAATAATAATATGTTGTACTAATAAATCATATATATATACAAATGAAAGGCAGGTTAGTACCAATGTATAGACATTATATTTTTTAAAAGTGCTCGATATAAAGTAGAGCTTAATAATAATAATAATATGTTGTACTAATAAATCATCAGTTACTCCCTTAAGATCTAGGAGGTATAAAAAACACACTGTCTTAACCGTCAGTAAATAAGTAGTCAGAGTAAAGTGTAATAAAGCTTTGGTATAAGTTTATTTACTGGTTTTGTTTTTTAATATATATATATATATATATATATATATATATATATATATATACAAATGAAAGACAGGTTAGTACCAATGTATAGACATTATATTTTTAAAAAGTGCTCGATATAAAGTAGAGATTAATAATAATAATAATATGTTGTACTAATAAATCATCAGTTACCTCCCCTTAAGATCTAGGAGGTATAAAAAACACACTGTCTTAACCGTCAGTAAATAAGTAGTCAGAGTAAAGTGCAATAAAGCTTTGGCATAAGTTCTGGTTCTGTTTTTACTACAGTCATGTTAAGAAGTTATTATTATTATTATTATTATTATTATTATTTTCTTTTATCCTCTGCTTCTATTCGTTGTTAATATTGAACTGCTGAAATGCGTCTTTAAAATTTGCATTTTGAGGGTTTGCTGTAACAACAAAAAAAAGACTTATTTAAAATCGTTAAAAACACCTTCGAGGGAGAGGGTGAAGGAATCGAGGCTGATGTGCTTTATAATGAGGTAAAAAAAAAAATTCAAATCAAATAAAATTAACAATATGATAATTATGGTTTCAATCGTTTAATCCCTGTCTTTCTCGCTTCGATGCAAAGCGAAGCGTTCCGAATTTCTTTTCTTTGTCAAGTGTTTTCTTTTTTTCTTTTTCACAAACGAATTTGTTTCGCTCAGCGGAAGAAAGCAACCACTGCTCAGTCATTATTCGGACTCAGTGGGTGGTGATTTCCTCACAGGTAAACAGTCCTCACTTTAAATCAGAACGATATGAAGAATTATTTCGCCCACCTGCGCCAGTTTTTCCGCTGTGTCTCCAAAAATGTTTTTCGTCGACTCTGAAAAAGCTTACATCATACGAATTAAAAATCCTGTCAATTAGTCGCATGTTTGCACACTGTAAAAAACAACTTCTTTTGTTCGCGGGTACTTGATGTCTTCTTCTTTTACTTCTTCTTCATTATTATTATTATTATTGTTATTATTGTTATTTACGCCTAATCTTTTCTTCTTCTTTTCGATTTTCTCTTCTTATCGCTCTTTTTTGGCCTTTATTATTGTGATTCACAACGTCCTTCTTTTTCTTCTTCTTTTCGAGTTTTTCTTCTTTTCCTCCTTCCTGTGTGTCTTTCTTCTTATTATTATTATTCTCGACTTTCTTTTTCATCATCATCTTCTTCTTCTTCTCAACCTCATTCTTTTTTTACTTTTCTTTTCTAGCCTCCTTTTCGCCTTTCTTTTTCTCCTACTTATTATTGTTATTATTATTATTATTATTATTGACTTTCTTTTTCATCTTCTTCTTCTACTTCCTCTACTTTACCTCTTTTTTTTACTTTTCTTTTTCTAGCCTTCTTTTCGCCTTTCTTCTTCTTCTTCTTATTATTATTATTATTATTATTATTATTCTCGACTTTCTTCTTCTTCTTCTTCTTCTTCTTCTTCTTCTTCTTCTTCTTCTTCTTCTTCTTCTCTACCTCCTTCTTTTCTACTTTTCTTTTTCTAGCCTCCTTTCCGCCTTTATTCTTATTATTATTATTATTATTATTATTATTATTCTCGTCATGCTTATTTGCTTTTTCTTTTCACTAGTCTTCTTCTTATCACACTCCTTCTTTTCGATTTTTTTTCTTCTTCTTGCCATCCATCATTTTCTTGTTTTTTGTTGTTTTTTGTTTTTTTCATTTCCGGTTTTTTGTTGCAATCTGCTCATTAGAATTTAATTTTGCTTTCTTTGTTTTATCTATTTACTTCTAGTTTGACACTATTTCATTTTCTTAAGCCTTTTTTTTGTTTTAGTTTTCTTTGTTTTCTCTTTCTAATAGTTTACTGCAACGTACTAATTTTACCTTTTATATTTTATTGCATTTCATTCTCTTCCCCTCATTTTCTCCCTACACATACATTTTTTGTCATTATTCCTTTTCTTTTTCACAAAATTCATTCATTTTTCTCGTTCCTTCTCTTATTAAATAATTATTATTATTATTATTGTTTTCGTCATGCTTATTTGCTTTTACTTTTCACCAGTCTTTTTTTTTTTTCGGACTCCTTCTTTTCGATTTCTTTTTCTTCTTGCCATCCATCATTTTTTAGTTTGTTTTTTTTTTATTTTTCTCTTATAAATAAAATTTTTTTTCACATTTATTTCTTTAGAAATTGGTAAATGATAAATATTGCATTACATTAGTTTTAATTGTATCAGTTTTTAGGATGTTGTAAATATTAAATTATTCTTGTAAATAAACAATCTAATAAATAAAGTCTTTAATATTTTTGTTGTACAAATTCACTTTCATCATATGTTTAGGTTTTATTCCAATTCTAATCATCGCTTTTTAAAACAATATACATTGCTGAAGAGCAAAGGTAGTTAAAATAATCGTGATGTCATGGGAAAACCCGTCTTTTTGACACGACGTCGTATTGCGGACATGCTTGTCCATGTTTCTTCTTTTTTTCTTTTCTTATTCACCCGTTTTACCTTTTTCTTTCAGATCTTTCTTCATTACATCTCTTTTCAGTCTCTTTCATTCTCTCACGCTTATCGTTTTCACTAAACTCTTCTTTTGTGCGACACAAGAGTAAATGGAAAGTGGTAAGACTAATTAATCTTTAAGTTTGCAATGAAACTTTAGTCCTCATTTTCTCAACCTTTTTCTATTCATGGCCCCACTTTTTATCGATGGTTTAATGACACAGACGTTGTTCTTCGAATACATTGTTTAGTAGACATATTTTTCAGAAAGAATTCGTTTAAGAGAAGCGTCATTGAAAAGGATAAATTATTAAAAGTATGTATCGCAAGAGAGTAGGATTCAAATTAATGCACAAAAAAAAGGTTGAGTCGGAAGAAAGTCAATCATTACAAATTGCAACTCCGCCCGCCATTTTGAACAATCTTCCTTCCTTTCCTTCTTTCTTTTTTTCTTTTTTTTCTTTCCTTCGTTTCCCTAATGATCTTCCTTCAGTTATTTGTTTTCTCATATTTCTTAACTTTCTTTGCTTATTTTTTCTTTTTCTTTTTTTACATCTTATTTTACTGCTTCTTCTTTCTCTTTGCTTTTTGCCTTCTTTTTAAAAATTGATGTCATTATTTCTTTTTTTCTTCTCCCTTTTCTCTTCTTTTTCTTCTTCTTTTTTGCTTTTAGCTTCTCTTTTTTAAAATCATTTCATTATTTCTTTTTTTCTTCTCCCTTCCCTCTTCTTCTTTTTCTTCTTCTTTTTCCTCTTCTTTGCGTTTTGATCAATTTTTTAAAACTTATTTCATTATTTCTTTTCTCTCTCTCTCCTCTTCTTCATTTTCTTCTTTTTTGTTTACTTTTTCATTCTTCCAATCTTATTTTATTATTTATTATTTTCCATAAAAAGTCAGTCGTTTCTTCTTCTTCTTCTTCTTCTCCTCCTCCTCCTCCCCCTCCTCCTGCTTCTCCTTCTCATCCTCCTCCTCTTCTTCTTGATTTTTTCCACACTCCCTTTTTTATCATCTCACTTCTTCTTCTCTTCCTATTTTTTGTATTCATCTTCTTTTTCCTTCCATTTCCTTCAATTGTCTCCTTTTTTTTTCTCCTTCTTTTTTTTTCTTTCTTTTTTTTTGCTTCACTCTCTCAACACCTACCGCCCGCCTCTTTCATTTCATTTTCTTTTTTTCCTCTTTTCCCTTTTCGCCGTTGTTATGCCTATTGCGCTCAATCAAAAACGAGTTTCTACTTTCGGGGATAAATTCAAAGAACAATAAGAGATTGGTAGATTTTGGAAAAGACGAGTTCATATTAATACTAGCGGAAACCATTGAACTCCGCAAGCTCAGGATTTCAGTTGATAGGGAGCTATTTAGAGGGAGGCGTTATTTCCCAGAATGAAAACGTTATCGAAAAGGAGAAAAGTCTACAAAATAGATATATGAAGATAATGGAGTTATTCATTAATGAAATAATTGAAGGAGTGGCACGATTGAGAGGTGGAGTTGTCAAGAAATAATCACTTGGGATTCGAAGCTTTTATTCCTGGGGAAGGAGGGACTATAATGAAGGAGGTTCTAAAATAAAAGAAAAGATCAATTAAGAAAAATAAAAAAATGCCTCCGAAAGCACAGTTGAAAAGGGTCGTTAGAAAAGAGGAGGGGGCTATTAAAAATGTTTCTTTTTTTCTATTTTCTTATCCGTTTTCGTAGTTCCTTCCTTTATTTACTTGTTTTTTTTTTTTCTTTTTTTCTATGTTTATCATGATTTTTTCTCTATTTTTATCGATTCATTTCTTCGCTTTGAAGAAGAGATGATAGTTAAGAAAGAAAGCAGAGTTAATAGTTGGGAAAGAAAGAAAGAAAGAAAGAAAGAAAGAAAGAAAGAAAGAAAGAAAGAGGAGATGATAGTTGAGAAAGAATGAAAGAAAAATAGAATAAAAAATGAAAAGATGAAAGTTGAGAAAGAAAGAAAGAAAGAAAGAAAGAAAGAAAGAAAGAAAGAGGAGATGATAGTTGAGAAAGAATTAAAGAAAAACAATAAAAAATGAAGAGATGAAAGTTGAAAAAGAAAGAAAGAAAGAAAGAAAGAAAGAAAGAGGAGATGATAGTTGAGAAAGAATTAAAGAAAAGCAGAAGAAAAAATGAAGAGATGAAAGTTGAGAAAGAAAGCAGAGTTAATAGTTGGGAAAGAAAGAAAGAAAGAAAGAAAGAAAGAAAGAAAGAAAGAAAGAAAGAAAGAAAGAAAGAAGAGAAAATGCATCGACAATTTACGAAAGAAAGAAAGAAATATGAAAAATACAAGAAACAAAAAGCAAATAAAGAAAAATGAAAAAAAAAACGATGAAGAAAAAGAAAATACGAAAAAGAAAAAAAATTTGGGTGTATATTCGAAAAAGCAAAACTAACAAAAAATGGATAAAAATTCGAAGACGAAAGAGATCTGAAATCTTCAAAAAATGCTGAAGAAAAAAGAAAAAGACTAAAAAGAAATAGATAAGAAAGAAAAAAAAACGAAGAAAACAAATCAGTGAAAAAATGAAAAATTACCAAAAAATAGAAAATTTAAGAGAGAACGAGATTTGAAAGAAAAAAAAGAAAAAAGTAAAGAAAAAATTAAAGAAAGAAAAGCGAAAGAAAAACTATGAAGGGAGAAAGAATAGATGAAGAGAGAGAAAATAAAGAAAAGACAGCTGTGAACAAAGACAGAAAAAAAATCGAAGTCGAAATAAAAATGGATCAATTTAAGCATGAAAGAAAAAGAAGCGGAAGTGGATGTCAGGAAATAATGCTTTGCGCTTGCGCGGAAATGGTGTTAGCGGAAGGGACAGACGGATATTTTAATGGAAATTAAGTAATCATTCCTTCTGTCTGGCAAATATGGGAAGAATTAAATTGTTTAATTCCAAATTATTGAAGTTATTCGAATATAACGGGAGCACTTCATAAGAAACGCATTCGAACGATTATTTTCTGTTTACTTTTGTTTCGTTTCCCTTATTTAAGAAAGCTTGCTCGCAATTCTCTCTTAAATTCTCTCCCTCCCACTCTCTGCTATCTATCTATCTATCTATCTATCTATCTATCTATCTATCTATCTATCTATCTATCTATCTATCTTTTCACTTTCCCTTATGTCCTTTTATTCCCTTTCTCTTCCTCTTTCTCTGCCCTATTCACTGGCTCTTTTTCAAATTCCCCATCACTCTCATTCTTTCTCTCTTTCTCTGTTTCTTTCTCTCTCATACCATTTGCTCTTTCTATCTTCCCCTAAATTCGAATAAGAATGAAAAGATTTTTTTCATTCTTATTCGAATTTTTACCCTCAAATTATTCTTTCATCCCCCCCACTCTATCTCTCTTATTTCTCTCTTCCCACCGTCTTTTTTTCTCTCCTCCTCCTGCTTTTTGTTGTCATTATTATTCGCTGTTTTTCTTTTCTCAAATTCGTCCAATATCATTTCTCTCTCTATCTATCTATCTAATCCTCTATTCTTTCTTTCTTTCTTTCTTTCTTTCTTTCTTTCTTTCTTTCTTTCTTTCTGTCTCTTCCTTCCTTTCTTTCTTTCTTGTTGCCCCCTCTATCCATTCTCTCCAACTCTCTCTACTTTGTCATTCTTATTAGCATTTTCTCTTTTTCCAAATTCATTCAAATTCTTTCTTTCTTTCTCTCTCTCTCTCTCTCTCTCTCTCTCTATATATATATATATATATATATATATATATATATATATATATATATATATATATATATATATATATACTGTACCCGTCAAAAGTGTAAATTTTAATTTCATTTTTCCTTTCACCTTTTGAAAGTGATGTTTGAGGACCCAGGGAAAATTAAAGTCCCTGGTGAAATAAACTATTACAACATATATATATATATATATATATATATATATATATATATATATATATATATATTGATCGCTCTTCCTGTTGCATTCTTTTCCTTTACACTCTACTGCCTCGGCTTTATTTTGTTCGTCTTATTTACTGTTTCTCCTTCGCCAAATTAAATCCCCTCCATTTTTCTCTCTCCCTCTCTCTCTCCCTCCCCTCACTCTCACGCGCACACACACACCTTTTCCGTCTCTCTCTCTCTCTTCCCATTACCTCCTCCTTCTTTACTCCTCACCTCGATCTATTTTACCAAACTTATTCTCAGTCAAAAGAACCAACAGACTCCATCCGCTGCCCATAAAACTGGAAACACTTCGAGATGGAAACAGACCGAGATATGACCACACCTTCTTCTCCTGTGTAAGTGTCCAAATCATAGTGCCACAAGAATGCAACAGACAGAGGAGAAATGGCTTGGAGAATTTTACACTCACAGGGCATATCGAAGGCAAGAGAAGCAGAACAAAACTTACTTGACATATTTGAACAAATAAATGGAAGAACAAGAGTTGTAAAAAGGAAGTATTACTGAAAGCAACAAAAGACAGGAAGTTGTGGAGAGCCATCATCGCACTCATCCTGAAGGGCTATGGCACTTTCCAGAATATTATTTTGGAACACACATTCACCTCTTTGCACTCTTTGTTTTCCTTTCATTCTTCATTATTTTTTCATTCTCTCTCCTCCCATCTCCCCCTCTCTCTCTTTCTCTCTCTCCCTCTCTCTCTCTCTCTTCTACATTCTTTCTTGTTTACACCTTCTCTGTCTCTTAATATTTTGTTATTCTAATTTCGCATCAGCTTCCTATTGATTAGGCCTATTAACGAACTCTGTGAATTAGACTACGGATTTCTTTTCGTTCACTGACATCTTTACTGTCTGTTCTCTTTTCCGCCCTCGCTGTCGAAACTGTGCGAACCATTCTACAGATTTAAATGAAAATGAAAAAGAACGGATTTAAATAAGCATGAAACTGCAAATATTCAAATCCCTGATTACCGTCACTGATTTTCAGATGTTAACTTCTGCTCTAACGAGAGTGCAGTCGGTGGAAGCTGTCAAGCCTTCTGCAAGAACAGAATGAACGAGTTTCAGAAGAGAATTACTTGCCTGATTGGCTCCATGTTAGAATGGTGCTTCCGTATTAAGGGTCTAACTTGCGAGCTTTTTCCCTGTCCCCAATTCGAAGGCAAACGTTGTGGAAATTAGAAAAAGAAGATGAAATAACCGATAAATTAAAAACGAAATCAATTAGATACAAAAAAATGAAAGCTAATTACAAGGAAAATGTTAATGAATTAAAAAAAAAGCAAGCAAGGACAGGGAATTGTGGAGATCCATGATCGCCCAAGTTCTGAAGTGACATGGCACATAGAAGAAGAAGAAGAAGAACAACAACAACAACAACAAGGAGGAAGAGACGAAGAAGAAGAAGAAGAAGAAGAAGAAGAAGAAGAAGAAGAAGAAGAAGAAGAAGAATCGGCATAAAATTCATGAAAAATAAATATTGAAAAATGAATGAATATATATACAGGATGACCAAAAAATTGACATCATTTAAAATGTGAATATCTGAGTAAGTACGTATCCCAGGCAAACGAAATTAAATAGGCTTCATGTTGAACAATAAAAGATTTATTGATCAAGATATCCAAAGGGATGTAGATTTTATAACCGATTTCACAAAGCTTCACAAATGTTCAATATGCGCACCACCCGTGACACGACGCACGTCAAGTCGGTAGTCCAGCTTTTGCCAAACACGCTGTAGCATGTCTTGCGTAAAACATGTTCCAGCGCTTTACTTCTTAAGTTCCTGTAGGCTTGTAGGAATAGAGGGGATTCACATAGCCCCATAGAAAAAAAATAAGTGTCATACCAGGTGAACGTGGTGACCATTTTAACAGCATATTATCATTATTACTGGCACACCCAATCCATCTTCCTGGTAGATTCTCAGTGAAATAAGTCGGCATAGTCAACTTGGCTTTTACACATTATGGCTGTGTTATTAAACTACAAAATGATGTCAATTTTGGGGTATACCCTGAATCTTAAAAAAATCACAATTATTTTACATTTTACGCAGTAAAATATATTTTTTTATACTAACGTTCATCCAATACATGGCTCAAGAGCCACTCAACGCAGAAAGTTACTATGTGGCGTTGTATGAGCGTAAGAAAAGAAGTGAAGTTTTGCAGAAAATATAACAGTTAACCGTAGACTTATAAAGATTGGGGAAAACATCCTACCGAGAGTCTGTTCCACAAAGTAGCAATTCCTGGGAAGAAGCAGTCCGAATGGAACTTACTCCTTACGAATGGAATACGAAAGGAATGAGGAGGAATCATACAAATGTGAATATCTGATTAACTACATGTCCCAGGGAAAACGAAATTAAATTGGCTTCTTGTTTAACAATAAAATATTTATTTATCAGAATTCGAATAAGATATTTAAAGAGATGTAGATTGTATAAACGGTTTCACAAAACTTCACAAATGTTTAATATGCACACCACCCGTGACACGACGAACATCAAGTCGGTAGTCCAGCTCCTGCCAAACACGCTGTAGCATGTCTTGCGCAACATTATCCAGTGGCTCAGTGATTCTCTGCTTAAGTACCTTTAGGTTTGTAGAAAAAGGGGGATAAAGACCTGTCCTTTCACATATCCCCATAGAAAAAAATCAGGTTTCAAGCCAAATGAACGTGGTTGGCATTTCAAATGCACATTGTCATTATCGCTTATACGCCCGATTCATCTTCCTGGTAGATTCTTACAGTGAACTTAGTTTTTTACAAATTTTGGTAACATTTCAGATCATTTGAACGAGAAATGGCTATGTTATTAGACTAAAAAAGGATGTCAATTTGGGGAAAACAGTCTCTCTCTCTCTCTCTCTCTCTCTCTCTCTCTCTCTCTATATATATATATATATATATATATATATATATATATATATATATATAGTAAATATGTGAGTAACTGCATGTCCCAGGCAAATGAAATTAAATAGGCTTCATGTTGAACAATAAAAGATTTATTTAGCAGAATTCGAACAAAGTTTCACAAATGTTCAATATACGCACCATCTGTGACACGACACGCGTCAAGTCAGTAGTCCAGCTCCTGCCAAACACGCCCCCCACTGAATCTATGATACGAGCCCCACCCCTCCATTCTTCTACATCTCAATTTTCATAAGGTAGTGTTCATGTTGTTTATTGTAACCTAGTTATGTACAATAATAGATCATGTGCAATATAGGTGAACAATTCAACTAGAAAAATCGAAAATAAATAGTATATCTAAATGTAAATTAGAGACATGTTATAAAAGATTTTATTCCATGTTAAATAAATCAACAATGTTTCGCGGCAATCTTTAAAATCAATTTGAGATTTTCTTGTTAAAAGTTTAAATAATTTTAATACGTCAACATTATCTATGAAAAAAATAGTGAATTTTATGTAGTGTTTTTTTGAGACTTAGCAAGACCAAAACAAATTCATAGGTTTGGACAGAAAAAAAGACACAAAAATGACATCTAAATCCACAAAATATTTCATTATCTGTCTATATTTCTGAGATGAGGTATCATGTACATTATTTACATTATTCGGACTATTGTCCTCATCTTTGTCGCCATATTTATTACAACGTTTCGGCCGTTGTACGCTCCGACCTTCTTCAGGTGGTTGGAATGTCGAACTGAACCCTTTATTTCGCTCACTGGGGTAGACTGTTCTAGTTCCACGTGCCATGTTTTTTTTTTAATGGATGTCAGTTATCAGTTATCTCCTGTTAATTTCCCTCTGAAAGTTCTCTACTGCCTTAAC